CAGAACAAAGCGGCGCTGAAGGTCCTCACGCTGATCCTGTATACGTTGCAGATCGGGAAAGCCATGGCTTACCTGGAGGCCATCAACTGCGTGCACAGGTACCCGAAAGGCTGCCTCGGCTTCCCATTTGTTTGATTTTTTTTTAAAGGACAGGCTCCAAAAGATCCGTTTCTAGAATTGCAAGCACCCACCGAAGGGCTCCCTCAGAAATCCACAAGCACACCCACCCACCCTGGATGCAAAGGCAAAGTCATCTGGGTGACTTCTGTACCACCCCATAATACTTGAAGCACTCTCGGGGGGGGGAGCTTACAGTTTAAGGATGCAGGCAACACAGTGCCACTGCCTCCCCCTGTTCCCCCCCCCAGGGAGTTAGGTACTCAGTTTACCAACTTTGGAAGGATGGAAGGCTGAATGAACCTTGAGCTGGCGACCTGGGATTGAATCCTGGTTGTGAGCAAGTTTAACCACTGCGCCAGGAGGCTCCTAGGGAGGCAACTGTAGGCAATAGAGGTGAGGCTTAATCTGGTGCTAAAACATCCTTCTTTGGACGGATGAATGATCTTTGACGTGCCAAACTAGCAGCAGTCAAACTAGACTGCTCAGCCGCCTAGAGTGGTCACAAGACCAGATGGGCGGGGTACAAATAAAATAAATAAATAAAAATAGATGCAAAGAGGAATGTGTTCGATTAGGCCTCCTTCAGCCTGGAAAGACGATGGTCACGTGCTCTACATGGAGGTCTTGGAACAGCGTCTAGTGTGGCTGAAGAGGCCAATTCGAGTGTGACACAATCCCTTCCACCCTGAAGACAAATACCATCTGTCCCCAGTCCAGCTCCCTGGTTTTGCTGGTTTCGGGCCGGCCTCTTGGCCTCGGCCTGCTGGACAAGGGTCTCTTAAAATTGGGAGAGGCTGTGATGCACCGCCTGTCTCCAGGCTGAACGCTCTGAGGTCAGGGTTTCCCATCTGTTGAGGTCCATGTGTAGTCCTGCTCCTATTAACCCGTTTCGCCTCCACCATAGGGCTTCCTGACAAAAAGGTAAAACCTATGTTTTCCTTCTAAGAGCCTATTCATAAGACAAAGCATGCTAAATGCAAGAGGAAGCAGCCACATGCTATTAGAAACAGACATCTTTCACTCTTGCCATGCTGAGACTCCACAACAAGACTTTTCCTCCTCTCCCCACCCACAGTTTTTCAATAGTTGTTTTGTGCAGGAAGTTGTGAAATCCTGCACAGCTTGATCCCCTTTCCAGTACCTTGTACCCGGGATAGATACCATACTGTGCAGGAGTTGTAATAATCCTGCAGTCTAGTGCTTTTTCTGCCCATGCTGGGTAGATCCTGTATAGGAGAGATGCCATCCTGTGCAGGATTTACTACATCTTCCATAAAAGAAAAATGACAATGAAACCTCTGAGAAATTCCACTAAATTTCTTGGCGTGGAGCGAGGAGAGAATTCGCACAGAGAAGTCTTG